GCAACGTGGTGAAACCCCACCTCTACTAAAAATGCAAAAATTAGCTGGGTGTGGTATGTGCCTATAGTCTCAGTTATTCAGGAGGCTGAGGCAGGAGAATTGCTTGAATCCCCCCAGAGGCAAAGGTTGCGGTTAGATGAGATCATGTCACTGCATGACAGAGCAGGATTCTGTCTCAAAAAAAAAAAAAAAAAAGAAAAGGTCAAATGAATTAGTGAATGGATGGATGAATGAATGCATGCATGCGTGATTTGGGGGGTGGGAACATTAGATGACTCTACTAATTTAATCTCCTGTGTCTGTGGAAATCAAACACAGGAGACTGCTTTGTGCTTTCTGTCAGCCAGCTCACCAACTGAGCCCCTAATGGTGCCTTGGGCTTTACTCGGGAGTTTAATTAGCCCTGGCACTTGATTCTGAAAGAAATGGAGAACAGTGATGAACACAAACAGGAGAGATCTGGGCAGTAACCAGCCTGGCATATGGCACCATGGATCAGCCACTGGCTTTAGGACTGGACTAAGTCCTAGGTAACTGTACTCCTAAATGTTACTCATGTTTATTCTTTCAAGATGCTAGATGATTAAGACCTTTTCTTGACTGCCGGAAACCAAAATATGAGCTGCTTTTGGATAATGAGCGGTATATGGAGAGTCATCGGGGATGTAGTGGAAGTAGGGAAAACAGTTCTGAGTTTGGATTCAAAAGACTGAGCCTGATGCCTTACTTTCCCCGCAACCAGCTGTATGGCCATGGGCAAGCTAGGTTATATTTCCAGGTTTAAAAGCCTATGATTCAATGAAATGCAGTAAACAATGATTCAAAGGAATTACACAGTGATGTGTTTACAGTAGATACACCATGAAGTTAAAGACACTTGCACTTTCAGGCATCTCACTGCCCTGGCTCCTTCCAAACCCCTGTGTCTCATTTTGTTAGATGGTATCACTATCTTAAACCTGGGTCTCATATAAAAGTTTCTTCCAGGTTTAAAATTCTATTGTTTCTGGCCAATGAACTTGAAAAAGAACATTTTCTGTGATACAATTCCATTCTATTCCATAACTTGTAATTTTTTAGTTTCAAGGACACCAGTTTGTCATATATACATTGTTCCTTTCTTTAGGTACTTAGCATGATTTTGGACAAATTTGATAAAGAAAATTGAAAGTCTAGATTGCTGGAATTTACTAGTATAATGCTTAAAGTTGAGCCACATTCTAAACATTATTGCAGTTGAAAATTCTACAGCAAGAATTCTTTAACTATAAGGTTTATGTTGGGTTATTATGAGTTTTGTTCTGGTCTCATTTTCATTGTTCAGGAGTTCTGGACATCTGATGCTGCCCATGCAATTCTCTTCTTTTCTTTTTCTAGAAGAGCTTTGCCTCTGGCCACTTGGAAGCTGGGCCTTGGGAGGTCCAGGGCTAAACTAACTATGCATTGAGGTGACAGTACTCAGTAAGACAAATCTTTACTCTGTGGCAATCTAGTTTGGACATCTACCCTAATTAAACTGGGAAAATTTGGGGAGGACTCAGGAATGATCTTAATTATAGACACTTCTGACTTATAATGATTCAACTTACAATGTTTCAGTTTTACGATGGTGTGAAGTTCACTTTTAGTAGAAACTGTACTTTGAGTACCCATACAACTATTCTCTTTCTCACTTTCAATACAGTATTCAATAAATTACATGAGCTAATCAATACCATAATATGAAATGGGCTTTATGTTAAATGATTTTCCCAATTGCAGGCTAATGTAAGTGTTCTGAGCACATTTAGGGCAGGCTGGGCTAAGCTATGATGTTTGGTAGGTTAGGTGGACTCAAGACACTTTCAACTTACAGTATTTCCAACATACACTGGGCATTTCGGGATGTAGCACCATGGTAAGTCAAGGCATCTGTACTTGTGGGATAACTACAAGGCTCAATCCCCATGGTTAGTGTCATACTCTGCTAGCCCAAGAGGCTACAGCAAGCAAAGCGGATGGCAGGGTAGGCGAATATCTCTGGGCTGCAAGTCCTTACGAAGGGATCTTTCTTCCCAGACTTCTCAGTCCTCACAACTCATACACCCTGCCAGCAAAGAACACCCACAGGACATCTGTCTTCAGCTTGCTGTTCAGAACCACCGTAAGGGCTTTGCCCTGTAACAATTTGGTTTGGACATTTACCCTAGGCAAATGGGGAATTTTTTTTCACATAGGGTCTCTTGCTTGTTACCCAAGCTGGCCTCAGCCTCCTGGGCTCAAGCAATCCTCTGGCCTCCTAAGCAGCTAAGACTACAAGCACATAACCATGCGCCCTAAACTTGGAAAGTTTATCTGGTTCAGGAATTCTCTTAATTATTTTGTTTTCCTTGTAACTGGTATTTTGTTCCCTTTTGTGAGGAGGGGAAAGGAAGTATTTGCTTTAACTTATCTGGCTTTGTCATTTTCATCAAAAATGAGGTTACAGATCTACTTCTGACTTTAGTTTGTAACAAACCCCAGAATTTTGTTATTGTTTTGCCTCTGACTTTTGTTTCCCCAACAGAGAATCACTTCTACCTCAGAATTATAACCCCTAGGGTCCCTAGACCTGATAGTAAAAATTCCAGATCAGTGGACAGCTTAAAGGATTTCCAGTTAACATTTACTCTACCTTCTGAAATTTGCATCTCCCTTTGCTTTTTTTCACTTAATTTTAATTTCTATGTGTTTGTTAGTTGGATTTAAATAGACATTTCATTTTTAACCAGTTTTAAAGTTATTTTTTTATTTTTGGCTCATAATTATGTTTTAATTTATATTATTTTACTGCCATTTTATTCTTAACCAGCCAGGAGCTGGCCTGGATTAGGAGAACTGGGTTCTAACCCACCCCTGATTGGTCTATTACATTGTCACACAGGGTGCATTACTTAGTTCCTCAGGCTGGGGCTCAATCAATGTGATGGCCCCTCTTTTTACAACGTTCTAGTAGCCTCTAAATTGGCTTTGTTTTTTCATTCTTATTTCTATGTTAGCATCTTTGGAAAAATTCCTACACTTATTTAGGAACAAATTGTTATTATATGAGGCTAATGGTAACTAGAAATAACTAGAATAATTCCTAAGAAGTTATGGTTTTATAAAATATTAATTTTTGGCAATGACCAGAAATGTCTACCTTTAAATAAATACCTGTGTCCACTCTTTTTGGGGCTGGTGGGGTGTCTTCTGACTGGCCTCCAGATGTGGGAATCCATTCCAAGTGCTGCTTGATTGTAATATTGGACCAAGCCCGTAGTCACACTGCCCAGTCTTTGGGTGAGGGGAGCAGAGAGATTCTGTGAATATTCTTAGAAGGGACATGTTTTTTGATAGGTTTAAAAAAAAAAAAAAGCAGCAGCAAGGTCCACAGGTCCCCTGATTTTAGCCACGACGTAGAAAAGCTCCACACAGACCCTCCTCCCTTCCGCTCTGGCACAGAGTTCCATTGTCCTTTTAAAGGCGGTGTCAGAAACCCTGTGGTGAAATTCAGCCTGTGGATTCCAGAAATTTGGAGTGTTCTTGGGGGGGAGGAATCCACACACACAAAGCAACATTTGGAGATCCCTGTGGTGAGTTGGGAGGTGGGGAGGACACGCAGTGTGGGAAGGTGGGAAGGGAAAGTGCCGGTGCACATCCTCCCTCTTTTTCCCAGGGCTCTGAGTGTCAGGGCTGAGATGGAGATGACACCCTGGCAGAGGAGGAGGCAGGGTGCTGCGGGCTGGGCATGGACTTTGAGGTCTGTGCTGAGCTTTACAGTTCGCAAGCACTTTCATGTTATCTCGTGAGTCCATGGCTCCATAGCCATTTTAGTCACAGACATTGACTTTCACAGTGGCTAAATAAATTTCCCAAGACCACATGGTTGAAAAAAAAAAAAAAAAAGAGTAGAGACACACCCAAATCCAAAAATTTTGTGCTGGAAGGCTTTCATCCCGTAAAACATTTCCATCTCCGTTTATCACTGATGCCACAAGTTCTACTACTCCAATTTCTTTGGAAGCTTAATTGATTTTTTTCCCCTCCCTAGGACATATGCACTTAAATTATTTAGGAAGTATTATGCCTGAGTGTGGCTAATTCCCTAACTAAGAGCAGCTTCTATATGAAGGAGCTTCTCAGCAGGCAAGGAGAGAGAGGGCTGGAGAAAGGCCAGGCATGGCGAGCAATTGTAGGCCACCCAAGGGCCTGGACTCTCAGGTTGGTGATAACATGATGGTAGGGGTTTGGGGGAGATGTCCAGAAACAGCAGCCCTGGAGGCCACTGCAAGGGAAAACAGGAAGAAGGCAATAGTCAAGTTCCTTCTTCGAACCAAGCCAACTAATGCCTGTCCAGGTCCCTTCATGTAGCTCCAGCATTCATTTGGTGCAGAATTCAGAACACTGAATTCCTTGGAGCCATTATTGAGGCTTGAAAGTTTGGAAGCTCTGTGTTAGCAGCATTTAGGGACAGTTCAGCCAGAAGTGGATGTGTTCCCTACAGACATAAAATTCTACAAACTACATTGTTTCCTAATGGGATCACTGGTTATGGACTCATGGAGCTGAAAAAGTCTCCACAGTGGGAGAGAAACTGAGAGGTCCTGCGTCCAGCTGGTGAGACCCAGTGCAGTAGAGACTGGCCCAACGCCACCTGGTGAGTTAGGTTGTTAACAATCAAATGCACTTGCAAAATCCTAATGGGGATGCAGGGGGTGGAGGTGATACAAGGATGGAAAACATTTTGTTAAGCATCAGATTGTGACAAAGGCTCTTCCTAAAAGTTAAGAATAGGATGACTAAAAGGGGCCTATGATATATTTTATATATTTGGTGATGGTACTGGCATTTGAGTATTTCTAGTTTGCTTTTATTATCTAGATGATGAACAGTAACAACAGCAGCAGCAGCAGCAACAAACTCTTACATAAAATTCATCTCTAAATGCCAAAGCAGTTTGTTTCTCTAAATATAGCACACAAAAATAGAGAGGCGTTACATAAAGTAACTCGCTACTAATTATCACTTGTGCTTCCCAGTCAGGTAAGGGCTGCACAGTTCAGATAAAAGCCTCTACTGGCTGCTTGTTCTTTGCTCAGCTCTCAGCCACAGACACCTGCCCTGCCTTGTGATTAGGTCACCTTCCTCTGACAAGGGCAGAGATCTCCAAACTCACTGACAACTCCTTTCCATGCACAGGGAGGCAGAAGGGGCTTGCAGGTTTCCACTCAGCCTATTTCAAGTCTGGCCTAAGCAGCCCCTTTGCCTGTGGAGCCAGGTCTGACCATGGCCTGTTGTGGGAAGGCCACGCCAGATGCAGATATGGGATGGGAGCTGTGGCTCCATCTTCTCATACTCTTGCAGAAGAGGATGTGTGTGGTGCTCCCTGACTTAGCAGTTGGTCTCAGGAATTTTATTTATCGTGGTTTTCTTCCTAAACAGAATTTCTGTCCATTTAGTTCACAGGATGTTGATGGGTTTTCCTTCCTTCTGGGTTCCTTTCCACTCAATGAGGGTCCAGGCCTTCCCCCTTCCCAGCATAGTCCAGCCTGCCTGGACACTCTTTCGTGGGCCTCTGGGGCCAGAGGATGAGTCCCTAGTGCTGTCTATCTACTCTGTTCATGTGCAATTCAGTAGACATTCATTGAAGAGCCACCCTGGGAGGATCCACCTAAAAGAGCAGCTTGCATACATGCAGGGCTACATAGGGTTCAAAGGCCTTTCATGCTCATTAACTGCTTATTTGTCCTAGAAGGATACCTAAGCCCAAAGCCTTGCTATATAATATGAAGACAAGATTTTCATGAGATTCCTGTAACCAATGAAGAAGCAAGCTTTCAGTAATCATGTGGATCTAATGGTTTAAATGTCACTTATGGGTGACAGGTGATGGGTTATGAGGATTAGATAAGAGCTGTTTGTAAGAATGTCTACAAAGTAGAGTGACAGGCTCTGGTCAGATATTTTGATCATTCTACAGTGCATGAAAGTGTTTGTGAGAATTGTATGTGCATCTGTATCTAACAGAATCTGCTTATATCTTCAGAAAACTTTGTCATAAATTTAAATTACTCAGTGTCTGAACTTCAGATACTTTAAGTAGCACATTTGAGAATGGGAATGTTGATTACAGTGTTTATAAGGAAACAGATGAATATTCCACTAATAACTATGAAAACCTGCTAAAGCTTAGACTAAGCTGCATATATTTAGTTATAATAAAATTGGGTGAACACATTCCAACTTCAACCTGATTAAGGGAAAGGGTGTAGGGGTGAGACAGGTGGAGCTCGGAAAGGAACAGTGAGAGTTTGGCCAATGGGAAGGGAGGCTGTGCCAGAAAGGAATGTGTGGGCTGGTGACAACTGAGGGCAAAGTGCTGGACCCCTCAGAGTTAGGCAATCAATACAGAGGGGCTGAGGTTCATCTGCTGCCTTCAGCGCAATCAATACAGAGGGGCTGAGGTTCATCTGTTGCCTTCAGCTCTGCAGGCTACATCTCAGGGTGTTTCCTGTGAAAGTTCCAAAAGAAAGCTGTATGGTCTACTTGGGGAAATCTGTGGTTCATGCTGGAATGCTGGACATACCACATTATTGGAGAGATGCACACTGAACGACCGACAAAATGAAACTCAACTTTCCAAATGCTGGTAATGAGAAGATTCAGTTCTAATGACCAGTTGTTTCCCAAAACACTGTCAGCTTGATTCATAATGAATGCATTCTAACCATGACAGCCAGTCAGGACACGAAAAACAGAGCATCCTCAATCCCAGGAAACAGCTCTCTGGAATCTGTGAGCTCTAGAACCTAGATTGAAGAAACTCTGACACCCCTGCCCCATGACCAGCCAAGAGTAAGAGTTCCAGAAAGACTGAGGCCACAGAAGGCAGGGGTTTGCCCTCTCTCCAGGAGGTCCCTGACCCATGTGGAGTCATGGGCAGGGCATGAGTGATGTTATTGCTGGAGGGAAACTAGCTCCTGGCTCCAGGTAGAACATAACCAGCTGAAGCCTTGTAGGAGGTCCCCGGCACTGATCATCAAACCAGGTAAGTCCTTGGGAATCTGAACAGGGACAGGAGACTGTTCTATGCTTTGGTGAGGATCAGGAAGACATTAGAATGTGGTGCTAGGGACTTACCTTTGAAGTTGAACAAACATGGCTTTATATCTCCACTTTGCTATCAACTGAGTGGCTTTGAGTAGATGGCTTCATTTCTTAGATCTTCAGTTTCATCATCTTCACCTGTAAAATGTTTTTAAAAAATATTTTAGGCTGTTGAGGGCAGTAAATTAGATCATGTACCTAAAGCACCGAGCATTGTGATAGACTTATTGGTACTTATTACATAGTGGGATAGCACCCTGGCTATGATGGCCTTGTGAGGGGGAGCTACACGGGAGGCCCAGGAGGAAGCTCTGAGTTAAAGTTAGGTCCAGATCCTAGACTTCTGGCAACCCCCAAAACCCCCTTTTGAACATGCTGGGGTGTGATGGGGGTGGGTCAAAGTGTGAAACCTCTATTCTTACTCCGTCTGCCCCAGATTCTCTCAAAGAGCACAGAATTGAAGGAGAGCACTGGACCAATTGTTAGGAGAATTGAGATGGGCTCTGCCACTCCCTGGCTGGGTGACCCTGACAAGTCCTTGAACCTGTTGAGGCCTGGGCTTCTCCATTTGTACACTGGAACAAGGTCATCTGCTCTGTCTGTCACAGGATGAACTCCAGCCTCATTAGCCTGGCTTTTAAGAACCTTCCATCATACTCCCTCACCACATTTACCATGAGTCCTCTTCATGCCCACATGGTTCTGCCACACCAAACTCTTCTGGGCACTTCTTTCACCCCTAGACAGAATGTTCTTGCCCAAGTGTCTGTCTATCTAAAGCCCATATTCTTTGGCATCCCCTGTAGCATCTAGCACAGGGTCTTGCATAAAGCAGATCATTGCTTTCTCAGTTAGGATTAGGTTTGATTACATGGGACAGGAAAACAAAAATAATAGTTGTTTAGCAAGTTAGAAGTGATTTTTCTCTTATGCCAAAGAAGCCCAAGGGAAGGATGGCCCAGGACTGGGAAAGTGGCTCCTTGTGCTGGGGACCCATGATCCCTCTGTCTTGCCGCACCAGCACTCTTGGCACCTTACCTCATAGTCCCATATGGCTGCCTGGGTTTCGGACGTCTTATTCTCATTCAGCCAGCAGAGGATGAAGAGGGCTAAGCATGTATTCTGTTCCTTGAGGAAGGCTTCCGAAATGACACCTCTGCTTATAGCTTTTTGGCTAGAACTTATTCACATGGTCATTATCTAGCTGCAACAGAGGCTGGGAATGTAGTTTTTAACTGGGCATATTGCCATCCCTTCTTTCCTTCTTTTTCTGAGACAGGGATCTCCCTATGTTGCCCAGGCTGCTATCCAACCCCTAGGCTCAAGCAGGCTACCTGCTTTGGACTTCCAAAGAGTTGGGATTTCACGGGTGAGCCTGAGCCTCCATGCCTGGCCATAGTGCCATTTCTAATAAGATTATAAGATTGATAGGGGAGAGTGGGAGAATGGATATTGGCAACCCCTATAGTTGCTTTTGCCACAGTTACTGAAAGAACAAAAAATATAAAAACTCACTATGAAGTTTAAAGCCCTATCTGATATATGAGATTATTATTATAAAACACTTAACTCATTTTAGATGAGTTAATTGTCCTGATTTTTAGGCTAAAAACAGCCCAATTCTTCTTGACCTCTAGTGGAAATATGGTGACATGTTTTTAATTTTTTGTAGAGGCAGGGTCTCACTATGTTGCCCAGGCTGGTCTTGAACTCCTGGCTCAAGCAATCCTCCTGTCTCAGCCTCCCAAAGTGCTTGGATTACAGACATGCATGAGCCACCACGCCCAGCCAACATATTTTTTTTTTCATAAAATAGTAACTCAGAGCTATAAGTGAAGATAAATTGTTGGTCCTTCCCCTTACCTTGCCATATTTTACTACTGAGGGAACTGAACGCCAGTGAGGCTAAGTGATGTGCCCATGATGGCCTAGCTGAATGGTGAAGAAGTCAGAACTGGAATGTGAGTTTCTGGACTCCAACAGGGCTTCTTCCTCCATGAACATTCAGGTTCTGCTGTCACCTGGAGGCCCTGAATTCTGTGCATCTCCTAACCCTGCATGAGGGCCCTGCTCTGCCAGCACCCCTGGAGGCGGATCCAGGTCTCCTTATTGTCAGCCACATTCCCGCCAGCACGTAGGTCAGAAACCTTCCACCTGAAGAGAGGGAAACATGAAGAAACAGAGGAGCATGCTATTAAACTAATGATGCCTTTTTGCTAAGAGCAAACAATCTCTTCCTTTCCTTGGCACCCAGAATCTGCAGGGCCCTGAATTAGGCACTGATGGGAGATCCAGGGAAACATGAGGAATGGTCACTGCCCTTGAGGATCTGGATGTATAGGTTCATTCTACTTTTCATTCATTTATTCAAGAATTATTTCTTACGCCTCTACTAGTGGCAGGCACTAGGCCTGGCACTGGGTTTAGAGCAAGAATCATGGCACTGGTATACAACAGTAAACTGCAGATATGGTTCTTGCTCTAAAATTGCTTATAGTCTAGTAGGGGACAGAGGCAAGTAAACAGGTAACTACAACATGGAATGAAGATTGCAATGATGGGGAGGGAGCGGGGTACTCTGGGTATAGACTGTGGTAGGTGGGCAAGGCTGAGTGGGCGAGATATCATTGCGGTAGAGACCTGAAGACTGAGTATGTGTAAGCTAAGCATGCACCATGAAGGGTGTGGTGGGTGGGATGGAAGCATATTCCAGGCGAAGAGAATGTGCAGGAGCATGCATAACCTTCTGACCAGACTGCAGGCAGGCCTGGGGGATGGTGGTGGTGAAGGTGGGGAATGTTGAGGAACACAACCAGAAAGGTAGGCAGAGGCCAGTAACTGAAGGACTTTGAAAGGCCTATTGGAGAGTTTCTGTGTTATCTCAAGTGAGATAACAGGCTTGAAGCAGATTTGTATGTTAGAGTCCCTTGGCCTCAGGGTAGACAGTGGATGAAAGCAAGCAGGACCAGATTCAGAGTGGTCAGTAAGGAGCTGTTGCAGTGACAGTGGCTTGAACCAGGAGAGAGCCGCAAGAGGTGCAGAGAGGTTGAGGAATTTGAGAGATCTTTAAATGGTACAGCCAACAGGTTTGGTGCCTGGGCCAGAAGAAGAAACAAAGACAGAGGCTAACAAACAAAAGCAATAGCCATTCTCCAGGAAGAAAATGGTGGCATGACCATGTGTTTTGAGCAAGGAACAATTGTTGTGGGCTAGAGAGAGTTTGAAGGACTTCCTAAAAGAGTTGGGATTGGAGCTGGGTGTTAGATATGGGTAGGATTTTGGTGGGTAGAGAGGACATTCCAGGCTAAACAATGATGCAAGTTAAAGTTCTGAGGCAGAACAGTGTGTAATTTGTTTAGCATGGTTTGGTCATGGTGTTCTTGGGAGACTTCCAAAGAGCTGATTCTCCAGGGGGTGCTACTAAAACTCTTACTGAAAGGAAGGACTGTGGAGATGAATCTCCTCACTCTCCCAGAATGGTACAGAGCTCTTTATGGACCCCGGGGCTACCTGCGTAGGAACCTCAAGGGGTCCGTGGACCACTAGACAGCCCAGCATACCTGAAACCTCACAGATACTGGCTTCCACCATGACAAAGATGAAAAGTCCCTCTTTCCTAAAATCAATACTTTTATTCTCATAGGCCTCCTGCTGTGCCCCACTGTCCATGTTGAGAGCTGCTGTCCCAGGTGTTGCTTCACTACATCTAGGCTCCTGTGGAGCCCTGCCTGCCAGGACGCACTGGTGAGCAAGGCCTGCAAAGCCATCAGGGAGACTACATGAATCCAAGGCCATGGAAAACTTAGGTTTAGATACTCTCTCTGCTCCTTCCTGGCTGTGTGACCCTAGAATAATTAGTCAACCTCTCAAAACTGAGATTCAGAGAGATTAATTATTCTAGGGTTACACAGCCAGGAAGGAGCAAAGGAAGTATCCAAACCTGAGTCTGTCTGACAGCAAAGCCTGTTTTCTCCATCTCTTCATGTACCTAAGCCAGGTGAGGGTTTAACTTCCTTTCTTGAATGAAGGTTCCAATTCCTAGGTCGGAAAGCACAGTGAGTAGGGAAATATTTACATGGAGGCCACACACCCCAGCCCTTTCCCAAGCCGCTCTTGTTTGATCCTTTTGAGGGTTTTTTTTTTTTTTTTTTTTTGTAGAGTCTCGCTCTATCGCCCAGGCTGGAGTGGTGTGATAGAGCTCACTGCAACCTCCACCTCCTGGGTTCAAGTGATTCTCCTGCCTCAGCTTCCTGAGTAGCTAGGATTATAGGTGCCCACTACCATGCCCAAATAATTTGTATTTTTAGTAGAGATGGGGTTTCACCATGTTGGCCAGGCTGGTCTTGAACTCCTGACCTCAAGTGATCCCCCTGGCTCAGTCTCCCAAAGTGCTGGGATTACAGACATGAGCCACTGCACCTGGCCTGGAATCTTTTATAGATGGGAAAACCAAGGTCTGAACACTAGCGAGGACTCCCCATGCCACCATGCTACCTCTATTTTCTCAGCCCCTTCTGCAGGCCCCATGCCATAAGAACATGGCTCCTAAGGTTCAGGCCTATGGCCCCAGTTTAGGTGGTGCCTCCACTCTGCTCCCCTATACCCCCCCACTCTACTATTTGAAGGCCAAGACTACTCAGCTTTGATTCCGGTTGAATGAGTCAAGGGTAAAACAAAGAAGAGAATAAAACAAAGAAGACCTACTCCCTTATGGATGAAATGAACCTACCCACCTTTTGACTTCTTTTTGTTCTGGAATGATGGCAGCATGCCGTGACTCATCACACTCACAGCATGCTGTGAATCATCACACTCACAGAGACTACTTTGTATTTTTTCTTGAAAATGAAGAGACAATACACCAATAAATTAACTGAAAATGGCTCGTGAAGGGAGGGAAGAATGACCTCCAGCACATCAGGGCAGAGTCAGGGCCACAAGAAGGTGCAAGAGCGGGAGGGAACCACAATGCCTTGGCAGAGAGGAGAGCAAGTGGGGGCCAAGCCAAAAAGCTCTTCAAGGGCAATCAATGGTGAAACCTGAAGGAGTCTTGTCCGTCCCCAAGTCTGATTGAGTTAAAGCCCTGCACCTTCACAAGCAGCTGGAGGGAAGGGAGGAAAGATATTTTCAAAAGAGCCATCATGTGTGGGGTGTGGGAATGAAAAACTTGCTGTATCTAACACAGAGAGCCTCTCCAAGCCAAGCTGTCTGCTTCCGGGCAAATGAGGCAATGGAAGTGGGACAGAAGACTCTTGGAGCCAGCTATCAGCACAGCTCCAGCTGTCTGGAGGAACGAGCTGAGAAGGTCTGAATCTTCTCCAGCCTGTTCTGCAAATGTGGGATAATCGCACAATGGCTGGCACTCACAGCGTGGCTCCGGCATTATCCAGGACTCTGGTTCTTGGTGATGGGAAAGGACAAAATTGGAAGCCAGACGAGCTAGGGCTGGACGGTCTGGAGTAAATGGTCCACTACTCTCAGGCTGTTTCCTCTGAGGAAACAGATGATTGCTACCACCTACCTTAGAGGTTGGGGGGATGAAAAGAGGTAATGCTTGTGGAGCTGTTCTGTAAACTGTAAAATGCTATGCAAATGCTGCTTGTTAACATGTTTACACATGTGGGTGAGTTAACGTAGTATGACAGACTAGACGTCAAACTCAGAGTCCAAGGCAATAGGGGCATTATGTTCCGTGCCTTAGCCTCTGGAAAACATGATGAAACTGGAAATGCGTTTATTGAAAATGAAAAGTTCTCTACAGAGCTTCCTGTCCTTTCCAGTGAATTCCAGGCTTCCCATGGTGCTTTCAGGGCTCCCCCGGAAGCTGGTGGGGAAAGCTGACTTCCATTCTCGTTGCTATGAAACCCCATTTTTGGTTCTGCTCTGTGACCATCTTCATTTCCGTCACTTGCACCGTTATGAGGACTAAAAAGACTCTTGGCAGAAAAGTAGTTTTTTGTTTCATAGCATTAGAGTTTGATATATAATATTATTTTTGAACAGAAGTGCACAGAGGAGTTCATAAAGGGTGGTATTTTAGAGCTGAAAGGGACTTGGAAGACTGTCTAGTTCAACCCTGAGATTTTTTCAGGTAAGGGACTGAGGCCCAGGCAGAAGGACTGGTTTTCTCCAGATCTCACGCATGAGCCAGTGAGCCAGGGTTAAAATCCCCAGGGGTCTGACTCCGATTCCTGTGCTCTTTCCCTTACCCCAGGGTCAAAAGCTCAGATGCTTTCAGAGTCCAGACAAATGAGGGAGAGGTCACTAGTGGGTAGAAAGGTAGGGAGTTGTGGGATGTTCAGTTCTGTTTATG